GAGATCACTGTGGACTCAAACAATGATGGATCTGGACCAAACTCTACACAAATACTCAATATGCCCAAATGAACACTGGTGGAGTTTGGGGAAAATAGAATCTTGACATTTGGGAGTTGTAGTTGCTGGGATTTATAGTTCACCTGCAATCACAGAGCATTCCGAACCCCACCAACAGTAGAATTGGGTCAAACCTCCCACACAGAACCCCCATGTGGGCCACAGCAACGCGTGGCAGGGGACGGCTAGTAATATATAAAATATATGTTGCCCAGGTTACTTGAAAAAGGCGATTTTTTAATTGCACAAAATGCATAAGGTTGTGGGTGAACTATAACTCCCATCATGCCAGGTTAACCCCCTAAAAGTTTGTTATGTTTGCTCTAGATGCATCATTGGTGGAGTTCAGTGTGCTCCTTGGGTGTGCTCTACAACTCCCACTATGGTGAGTCAGTCCCTTCAAACCCCTCCAATAGGTTGAGTTAGTCATGAAGGAGAGGAGGGATGTTGATGCCCTAATTTCTCCCGGGAGTGAGTTCCACAGGTGAGGGGCCACCACCAAGAAGGCCCTGCTCCTCATCCCCACCAACCTCACTTGTGATAGCGGTGGGGTCGAGAGCAGGGCCTCCCCAGATGATCTCAGACTCCGGGGTGGGACGTAGAGGGAGATGCGTTCGGACAGATACACTGGACCGGAACCGCACAGGGTTTTGTAGGTCAAAACCAGCACCTTGAATTGTGCTCGGAACTGAACCGGCAGCCAGTGGAGCTGACACAGCAGGGGGGTGGTGTGCTCCCTGTATGTCGCTCCGGTGAGCAATCTGGCTGCCAGGTCAGGTAGCACATAACAATCCTGCTTCTACGCCGGTTTGTCACCTCCATCTAATAACACCCATAAAGAAACAGGAAAATTTCTTATACTGTATTGTTGAGCCAAGTGTAGTCCAGGTCCATCTAATGATGGAGGTTATGGTTTCTCTGGTTGTGGGTGAACTACAACTCCTAGAAAGAAAGGTCGGTTCCCCCCAAACCCCTCCAGTAATCAGATTTCAGCATATCAGGTCTGTGCCAAGTTTGGTCCAGATCCATCGATGTTTCGGTTCACAGTACTCTCTGGATGTAGGTGAACTGCAGCTTCCCCAAATCAAGGTGAATTTCCCCCAAAGATCTCCAGTATTTTTTTTCTGGTCATATAGGTTCTGTGTACCAAGTTTGTTCCAGGACGGTGCATTGTTGGTGGAGTTCAGAGTGCTCTGAGATTGCAGGTGAACTATACATCCCAGTACCTACAACTTCTATAAATTAGGGTGGATTCTCCCCAAACCTCTCTAGTATGTTCAGTTGCTGATCAGTTCCTCTGTATGCTGTGTGGCATAGAAAATAATAGGAAAGGGTTAAGAGAGAGGCAGTGGGCGGGGTCATGTAAATTCCACACCAATAGAGTAAGAAACACTGGGATGCCTGCGGTGGAGGAGAAACAGAAAATCTAGAATGGAATTGTCCCCAAATGAAAGCCTTCACTTGGGTGGTGGGCAGTGTGGTGTTTGTGGAGGACATTGGCAGGGCTCTTGGACATGTTCATGGCTCTCGCTGTAACCTGCAATGTCATTGGAGGGAGGGCCTTTGGTGTCTCCTGAGCAGTGAGAGCTAGAGCTGTTTGTGGAGGCAGAAGCCTGTTTGTGTAAGTGGACACCCCAGCCACACATATACATACGTATTTTCTCTTCTATTATGTGTATAGATGATGATGATGATGATGATGATGATGATGATGCAAGGGCCTTGTCAAACTGCAACTCCCAGGATGCCATAGCATCCTGGGCTTCTCTGGTTTTAAATCTGGCAAAAGTATATTAATAATAGCAGGGTTCATTTCTAGTAAGGGTCATCTATCATTAATAATAATATAACGCCAGGGCCTTGTCAAACTGCAACTCCCAGGATGCCATAGCATTGATCCATGGTGTTGGGTCTTAACTACATGTATTCTGTATTATGTAGGATATGGGAGATACACATATATGTATGTATATGTATGGATGTATATATAATATATTAGAATAATCTATCTATCTATCTATCTATTTCTATATTATGAGCCAGTTAGATTTATATGATATAGCATATGGGAGATATGTATGTATATGTATGTGTGTGTGTGTGTGTGTGTGAATATAATATAATATATAATCTATATAAATAAAAATGTAATGTTCGTTTGTGGGATTAACATAACTCAAAAACCACTGGACGACTTGACATGAAATTTGGACACAATACAGTCCAATGAGTGTCCATCACCCATAAACACACACGTACACGCACATGCACACACACAAAATCCCAGCAGAACAGACTTAAAAAATCCCAAAATACACCATATATACATATACACATACACTATGTATGTATGTGGATATGTATATGTGTGTGCATGTGTATAGGTATGTATGTGTGCATGTGTATATGTATATATGTGTGTGTATATGTATGTGTATATATTTCTGCATATATATACGTGTGTGTGTATGAATGTGTGCATGTGCATATGTATATATACACACAAATATGCATATAGACAAGCACACACATATACACAATACGCATGTACACATATAAACACAAATACACCCACATATATATATATATATATATATATATATACACACACACACACACACACACATACACAAACACATATATATACACACACAAAACACATATACATAGACTGGGCCGCAGCAACGTGTGGCAGGGGACAGCTAGTATGATATATATATCATAATTCTAGGTTATACAGCCAGTTAGCTTTAATTCTGTATTATATAGGATGTGGGAGATACCTATATGTGTATGTATATGTATGTGTGTAATATGTATATGTATATATGTATATACAAACACACAGTATATTATAGAGACAGCTAGCTTTAATTCTATACTATATAGCAGGGGTCCACAAACTTTTTAAACAGCGGGCCAGGTCATCGTCCCTCAAACTGTTGGAGGGCCGGATTATAATTTGAAAAAAGAAAAGAAAAGAATGAATTACCTATGCACAGTGTACGTATTTTATTTGTAGTGCAAAAAACACTTTAGAACAATACAATAATTAAAATGAAGAACAATTTTAACAAATACTAGCTTTACCCGCCACGCGTTGCTGTGGCCAGCCTTCTCTCCCTCTTTCTCTGCTTCTTTCACTCCTTCCTTCATTCCGTTTTCTTCTTTCCTTTCTTCCTTCTCTACCTGTTTACTTCCTTCCTTAGCTGTTTGCTTTCATCCTTCCTTCTCCTTATTTCTTTCCTTCCCTGCATCTTTCTCTCCTTCTTTCTCTTTTTCCTTTGCTGCGTCTTTCCTCCCTTCCCTTTTTTCTTTCCTTCTCTCCTCCTTCCTTCTGTACCTCTTTCCTTCCTCCTCCCTTTTTCTTTTCCTTCCTCTTTGTCTCCTTTCTTCCCTCTCTTTCTCTTTCCTTCCTTCCTTCGCTCTGTAGTTCCATACTTCCCTTTCTTTCCTTCCTTCCTTCCTTCCTTCCTTCCTTCCTTCCTTCCTTCCTTCCTTCCTCCTCCCTCCCTCCCTCCCTCCCTCCCTCCCTCCCTCCCTCCCTCCCTCCCTTTCTCTTCTTCATTTGCTTTCTTTCCTCCCTTGCCTTTTCTTCTGTCCTTTCTTCCTTCCTTTCCTTCATTCCTACACCTTCCCTTCCGCTCCTTTCTTCTTCCTTCCTTCCTTTCTCCCTTGTTTCCCATGCTCCTACTCTCTCTTTCTTCTTTCTTTCCTACCTTTCTTCCCTCATATACTTTCCCAACTTCTCCTTCCTTCCTTTTTTCATACTTCCCTTCCCCTTCCCTCCTTTTGTTTATTTCCCACCTTTCTTCTCTGATATACCTGCCTTCCTTCTTTCTTTATTTCCTTCCTTCCTTCCTTCCTTCCTTCCTTCCTTCCTTCCTACACCTTCTCTTCCCCTTGCCACTTTTCTTCTTTCTTTCCTTCTTTTCTTTCTTCCTTCCTTCCTTCCTTCCTTCCTTCCTTCCTTCCTTCCTTCCTTCCTTCCTATTTACACCTCTTCCCCTCATTTCTGTCCTTCCTTCCCTCCTTCCCGTTCCTCATCGTCCCCGATGGCAGCGTCCTTCCTTCCCTGGAGCCAGACGCCGGTGTGCGGGGGCGGCCTGGGCCGGGCATGGCGGAGGCCGAAGGGCTGTCCTCGGGAGAGGCGGGTCGCGGCCCCTCCCGGGCGGGCCACAAAGGCGCGCAGTGGGGGCCTCCCAGGCAGCCTCCGCTGGTCCAGCCCCAGAAAGGCCACCAGCTGTTCGGGCCCATGGAAGGTGGACAGCCCCCCACGCCACATGTGCACCCCAGCACGCACAGGAGGGCGAGCTCCCACTCCCAGTCCGGGGCTTCAGTATCGGCGCCTAGGCCGCGCTCGGTTTGGCATGGGGAAGGGGCGGGGCATTGATGGGAGGGGGCGTGGCTTGCGCGGAGGGGGCGTGGTGCGGCCATGTGCGCGTGCCGGGCGACTCGCGCCGGGACTCCTCTGCGCATGCTTCGTTTGGTTGTGTAATTGTGAGTTTATTGTTATGGTTTTTTGAGTTGTGATGAGTGTTCTGCGTACCTTGTGGTTTGAGGTATGCGTACGCCCAAGATTGGTGCTTTTTCATCCGGGGTTTTTCGCGTTTTGCGGCCCCTAACGACGCCCTTTTGGATTTTATATATATAGATAACCTTATTAGTATTTCAATGGGAAGTGTGGGCCTGCTTTTGGCTGATGAGATCGGATTGTTGTTGTTGTTGTTGTGCGCTTTCAAGTCGTTTCAGACTTAGGTTGACCCTGAGCGAGGGCCGGGTAAATGACCTTGGAGGGCCGTATTCGGCCCCTGGGGCGTAGTTTGAGGATCCCTGCTATATGGGAGATACATATGTATGTATGTATGTATGTATGTATGTATGTATGTATATGTATGTGAATGTAGGTAATATAAAATATCGCTTTGGTTGCCTCGCAGGGACGCCGGTGAACCGCATCCCCATCATGGCCAAGCAAGTCCTGGACCTCTACATGCTCTATGTCCTGGTGACCGAGAAAGGCGGCCTGGTGGAAGTCATCAACAAGAAGCTCTGGCGGGAGATCACCAAGGGCCTGAGCCTGCCCACCTCCATCACCAGCGCTGCCTTCACCCTCCGCACACAGTAAGTCCCATAGATAGATAGATAGATAGATAGATAGATAGATAGATAGATAGATCAGAAGGGGACCCCCAGAGGCCATCTATTCCATGCCACACACAGGTAAAGCACTCCTGTTTAAAGAAGGACAGGCACTTGGAGAGGACAATATTTAATTGCCCTGGGAGGAGATGGGAATTCTCCTTTCCCCCTTTCTCTGCTCACTCGCCCTCCTTTGACATCTCCCCTCCTCCTCTTAATGAAGGCTAAAGTTAATTAGTCTGGAATGCAGAGGGCCAGGTGGCGGAAGAGGATTTGGGGGCAGGGAGCAGCAAGAGGGAGGCCGGCAAAGGCCTTTAACCCCTTCTCGGCTACAGTCCAGCCTCCTTATGGCGTGACACTGCCCGATCCCTCCCAACAGGTGGCCATCCAATCCTCATAGACATTAGCATCTCCATGGAAAGAGGTAGAGCTATAGGATCATCTACTCTCCCGGTGGCACAGTGGGTTAAACCCCTGTGCCGGCAGGTTCAAATCCGGGGAGAGGCAGATGAGCTCCCTCTATCAGCTCCAGCTCCTCATACGGGGACATGAGAGAAGCCTCCCACAAGGATGCTAAAAACATCAAATCATCCAGGCGTCCCCTGGGCAACGTCCTTGCAGACGGCCAATTCTCTCACCCCAGAAGCGACTTGCTCCTGACACGACAAAAAAAACCCCTACCTCTGAAGATGCTTGCCATAGATGCAGGTGAAATGTCAGGAGAAAGTGCCTCTAGACCAGTGGTTCTCAACCTGGGGGTCGCAACCCCCAGGGGGGTCGCTTGGCCATTTTGGAGGGGTCGTGAGGCCACCTCCTTTGGCCCTGCCCCCTCCTCAAAATGGCTCCCCACAGGGCCCAGGCCCTGCCCCCCGAGCTGGGCGACCCAGGTCTGTGGAAGTCAGAGGTACTGTAGATTCCATCATCCATTGTCCAACCTCCCCAAAACATGTTGTTTCCTTGATTAATCACTATGCTTCAATTATGTTCAATTTGTAACAATGAAAATACATTTACATTACAATTCATAACAGTAGAAAAATTACAGTTCTAAAGTAGCAACGAAAATAATTTTATGGTTGGGGGTCACTACAACATGAGGAACTGTATTTAGGGGTCACGGCATTAGGAAGGTTGCGAACCACTGCTCTAGACCATGGCCATATAGCCCAAAAAAACCTACAACAGCCCAGTGATTCTGGCCATGAAAGCCTTCGACAATACAAAAAAAAAATCTACTCCTCAGGTGGGAAGGGATCCCCAAGGGCCATCTAGTCCAACCCCCTTCTGCCAGGCAGGAAGATAAATATTACTATATTATTTGAAACACAACAAGATGAGTCCACAGCAGACAAGATCACTCTGTTGGCTGTTGCATTGGATCACACTTCGGACACTCCTATGACTGTGTGATGTATTGGCGAATAATGCGTGCAGATCCCAGTAAGGTGGCCTTTTGCAGCTGGCAGATGGTAATTTTGTCAGCGCCGATTGTGTTTAAGTGCAGACCAAGGTCTTTAGGCACCCCACCCAGTGTGCCAATCACCACTGAGACCGCCAGAGTCTCTGCAGTTCAATCTTTAAATCCTCATATCGTGTCAGCTTTTCCAGTTGTTTCTCTTCAATCCTGCTGTCACCTGGGATTGCAACATTAGCAATCCATACTTTGTTTTTTAACACAATCGTGAGGTCAGGAGTATGGTTGTTGTTATTATTATTAGTTGAAACACAACCAGATGAGTCCACAGCAGACACTCTGCTGGCTGTTGTATTGGATCACACGTCGAACACTTCTCAAGTGTCTAGGACTGTGTGATGTATTGGCGAATATAGGTGGCCTTTTGCAGCTGGCAGATGGTAATTTTGTCAGCGCCTGTTGTTGTTATTGTTGTTGTTGTTGTTATTATTATTATTATTATTATTTTCCTAGAATTGGAAGAGACCCCAAAGGCCATCCAGTCCAACCCCCTTCTGCCAGGCAGGAAGATAGCTATTACTATATTATTATTATTATTATTATTATTATTATTATTATTATTATTATTATCATCCTCCTAGAGTGGGAAGAGACCCCAAAGGCCATCCAGTCCAACCCCCTTCTGCCAGGCAGGACGATAGCTTTACATTATTACTATTACTATTATTATTATTATTATTATTATTATTATTATTATTATTATTATTATTTTTCTTGAGTTGGAAGAGACCCCAATGGCCATTCAATCCAACCCTCTTCTGCCGGGTAGGAAGATAGATATTACTATATTATTATTTTTATTATTATCATCCTCCTAGAGTCGGAAGAGACTCCAAGGGCCATCCAGTCCAATCCTCTTCTGCCAGTCAGGAAAAGCACAATCTAATCCCTCCCGACAGATGGCCATCCAGCTTCTTCATCACAAGGATCACCAAGGGAGGTCTGACCAAAGTAAAAAAAAAAGTAAAAATAATCATACATGCTAATACTAATAATAGCTATATAGCCACTTTTGAGTCTCCTGGTGGAGAGAAAAAGCGGGGTATAAAGAACAATAACAACAACAAAAAGCAACTAGGACTTTGCTCAGTTTGGGCGCTTTGAATGCAGCTTAGCATCATCCTTTTCCTGCCCTCCCTGTGCAGGTACATGAAGTACCTGTACCCGTACGAGTGTGAGAAGCGGGGGCTCAGCAACCCCAACGAGCTCCAGGCTGCCATCGACAGCAACCGGCGAGAAGGCCGGCGCCAGGGCTTTGGGGGATCCCTCTTCGCCTACTCCCCTGGCGGGACCCACTCCGTCATGGCTTCCCCCAAGATCCAGGGCATGGCTGCTGCTACCGCCGCTGCCACCAACGGGAGCCCTGGAACCCCCAAAATCAAGAAAGGTAAGGCTGTGATCAACTTTTGTGATGCGGGAGCTACAAATCCCTCAAGCCATCTCCCGGTCCCCCATTGCAACTCTGTTTCTCTCTCCCACAGAGGAGGACTCCTCGGCTGTCCCCATTGCGCTGCCCGCGCGGCTCCCAGTCTCGCTGGCCGGACACTCGGCTGTCCAGGCGGTGGCGGCAGCGCAGGTGGCAGCACTGGAGCAGCTGCGGGAGAAGCTGGAGTCTGGAGAGCCGCCCGAGAAGAAGGTGGCGCTGGCCGAGGAACAGCAGCGCCTGATGCAGAGGGCCCTCCAGCAGAACCTCCTGGCCATGGCCGGGCAGCTACCCATGAGCCTTCGTATTAGCAGCAGCGGCAGCAGTGGCCAGGGACGCCGCTCGCCAGGTGAGATGGGCCTAGCCACACCTTTGTTGTTGTTGTTGTTGTTATTGCCAGGTGAGACAGGCCTAGCCACATCCCCTATTATTGTTGTGGTTGTTGTTGTTGTTGTTGTTATTAAATTACTAATATTACTATTACTGCCAGGTGAGGCAGTCCTGGACACCCTCCCATTATTATTATTACTCTACTACTATTATTAGTACTATTATTACTATTACTGCCATGTGAGAAAGGCCACTCTCTATTACTATTATTACTATTACTGCTCAGTGAGACAGGCCTAGCCACCCTCCTATTATTATTATTATTATTATTATTATTATTATTATTATTATTATACTACTATCATTATTACTGTTATTACTATTACTGCCAGGTGAGAAGGGCCACTCCCTCTTATTATTATTACTATTACTACTACTATTTCTGCCTGGAGAGACGGGGCCTAGCCACTCTCCTATTATTATTCTACTAATATTATTACTAATATTATTAGTATTACTGCCAGGTGAAAAGGGCCACTCCCTATTATTATTATTATTATTATTATTATTATTATTATTATTATTGCTATTGCTAGTATTGCTGCCGGTGAGACAGGCCTAGCTGCTGCCCATTATTATTATTATTATTATTATTATTATTATTATTACTAATATTACTATTGCTGCCAGGTGCGACAGGCCTGGCCACCCTCCTATTATTATTCTACTACTGTTATTACTACAATTATTACTATCAGTGCCATGTGAGATGGGCCTAGCCATCCCCTGTTGTTATTATTATTATTGCCTGGTGAGATGTGCCTAGCCACCCTCCTAGTATTATTTATTTAATTATTTATTTATTATTTATTTACTTTGCTTATATACCGCTGTATCTCAAGCCCGAAGGCGACTCACAGCGGTTCACAAACAGTAAAACAGTAGAAACAGCAGTGGTTCCATACAACATATAACAATTGACTTAACACATTATCCATAAATTACCAATAAGCAATTACAATGCACAATTATTACAAAAAACAACCGTACCCAATCTTCTCATCATCCAAGCGTAGTCCAGGTTCGTCGTCCATTTTTCCATTCCTATGTTCCATTACCAGATTGCACTAAATTACTCAAACGCCTGCACAAACATCCAGGTCTTCACCTTTTTGCGGAATACCATTAGAGATGGTGCTAGTCTAATGTCCGTAGGAAGGGCGTTCCACAGCCGAGGAGCCACCACCGAGAAGGCCCTATCCTCTCGTCCCCGCCAGCCGAGCTTGAGAAGCAGGCGGGATCGAGAGCAGGGTCTCCCCGGAAGATCTCAAAGTCCTGGTGGGTTCATAGGCAGAGATGCGGTCGGATAGGTAGCTTGGGCCGGAACCGTTTAGGGCTTTAAAGGCCAACGCCAGCACTTTGAATTCAGCCCGGTAGCAGATCGGTAGCCAGTGGAGTTGGCGCAACAGGGGGGTTGTATGCTCCCTGCGCTCCGCTCCTGTTAAAATCATGGCTGCCGAGCGTTGGACTAGTTGGAGCTTCCGAGCTGTCTTCAAAGGCAACCCCACGTAGAGAGCGTTGCAGTAGTCTAAACGGGATGTAACCAGAGCGTGGACTACCGTGGCCAAGTCAGACTTTCCAAGGTACGGGCGCAGCTGGCGCACAAGCTTTAGCTGTGCAAATGCTCCCCTGGTCACCGCCGAAACCTGGGGTTCCAGGCTCAGCGATGAATCCAGGATCACACCCAAGCTGCGAACCTGCGTCTTCAGGGGGAGTGCGGCCCCATCCAACACAGGCTGTAACCCTATGCCCTGTTCAGCATATTATTACTACTCCTACTACTACTGCTGCTACTGCTCCTATTATTACTATTGCTTTCAGGTGGGTTGGGTCTAGCCACCTCCTATTATTATAATCATATGATTACTATGATTATTGCTATTACTCCTGTTATTACTATTTTGATTACTGTTACGATTACTATGATTGCGATTACTATGATCCCTGTTACTATGATTACTACGGTATTACGATTACGACTACTGCTATTATTATTTATAATTATGTTTATTTATATCCTGGTTTTTCTCTCCATGAGGAGACTCAGAGTGGCTAACATTAAAAGAACTACAATACAATTTAAAATATACAAATAACACTTCGAAAGGAGTTGTCCTACTCCAGAAACTTCATTTTTGTGGCTGCCACAAACTGTTGACTTGCTTGAGACCCTAAGAGATAGTTATTGAAAACCTAGAGAAAAATGTGCTATAGCAGGATGTCCCACAAAAACAAAACTTTTTTGCTTCCTTGCAGAAAGCCGTCAAGACACGGCGGCAAACCTCGCCACCAACGGCACCAACAGCATCAGCATGTCAGTGGAAATCAACGGGATCGTCTACACGGGTAATGGGGGGCTCAGTTTGCGGCTGAGAGAGAAACTGAAAGAGTTAGAATTACGCAGAGGCTGGATGGCCATCTGTCGGGAGGGCTTGGATATGGCGTTCCTGCCTGGAAAAAGGGGTTGGGATGGATGGGCCCTTGGAGGTATCTTTCAACTCTAGTATCTGTCTGTCTGTCTGTCTGTCTGTCTATCTATCTATCTATCTATCTATCTATCTATCTATCTATCTATCTATCTACCCATCCATCCATCCATCCATCCATCCATCCATCCATCCATCCATCCATCCCTGTCTTATGGGGTTGGACTGAATGGCCTTTGGGGTCTCTTCCAACTCTAGGATTATATGATTCTGTCTGTCTGTCTGTCCATCCATCCATCCATCCATGAGGCAAATCCATCCATGAGGCAAATCTATCTCCTATCTTCCTATCTATCTATCTATCTATCTATCTATCTATCTATCTATCTATCTATCCTATCTACCTATCTAGCCTATCCTATCCTAATCCTCCTATCTATCTATCTATCTATCTATCTATCTATCTATCTATCTATCTATCTATCTATCTCTGTCTGTCTGTCTGTCTATCTATCTATCTATCTATCTATCTATCTATCTATCTATCTATCTATCTATCTATCTATCTATCTATCTTCCTGTCTGTCTGTCCATCCATCCACCCATCCTATCTATCTTCCTATCTATCCTATCTATTGTATCTGTCTACCCTGTATCTGTCTGTCTATCTATCTATCTATCTATCCCTGTCTTATGGGGTTGGATTGAATTGTCTTTGGGTTCTCTTCCAACTCTCGGGTTCTATAATTCTATTGCTTTGTTACTCCATGAACCTGCTAATGACTATGAGGCTAGATGGCTATCTCTCAGAAACACTTGAATTGTGCTTTTCATGCCTGGCAGAAGGGGGTTGGACTGGATGGCCTTCAGGGACCTCTTCCAATGCTATGATTGGAAAGATTACGAGATGCATGGGATGATTATTGGTGGCCCAATAATTTGTATTGTATATGTGTTGTATGTTTCAAATTGAATATTGTTTTTAAATGTTGTAAACCGCAATGAGTCGCCGACTTAGGCTGAGATATTAGCGGTATACAAGCCTATAAATAAATAAATAAATAAATAAGATTCATCGCATCCTATAGTTGGAAGGGACTCCGAGGCAGAGTATTCCACTATGTAACACACTTGTTCTTGGGCTCCGCAGGCGTGTTGTTCGCCCAGACGTCAGATGCCCCGCTCGGCAAAAGTGGCGCCAATAGCGGGCAGCAGCCTGGCAGCGGTGCCACCGCCTCTTCTGCTGTCCCAGCACCTGCAGTGGGGGCTCCTCCTGCCGGCCTTCCTGCAGCCCCCACATCTACCTCAAGCAACTCCTCATCGCCTTAAAACCTCCACGCCCTTCACCGCCTCGCCCCAATTTGGGCAGGGCCGCGTTCATCGGGCATCCTCTTTCCTTCCCCAGTTGCATTCAGGAAAGTGTGCATTTGTGTGTGTGTGTGTGCATGTGTGTGTTTTTGTGGAGGGGGTGAAGCCATGCCTTGCAAGGAATTGGAAGTTACGGGTTAGGGGTCTCCAAAACTCAAGGTCTCCCAAACACAAAGTTTCCTAAATGTAAGGTCTCCCAAACTCAGGGTCTCCACAACTTGGGATCTCCAAAATGTATCTCTTCTAAATGCCAGGCCTCCCAAAAGTGAGATCTCCGCAAAAAGAGGTATCCCAAACTCAAGGTTTCCGAAATGTAAGATCTCTCAAACTTGGGGTCTCCAAAACCTGGGTTCTCAGAAATTTATTTCTTCCAATCTCAAAATCCCCCAAAAATAGGGTCTCTGAAACTAGATCTCCCAAACTCAAGGTTTCCGAAACGTAAGGTCCCCCAAACTCAGGGTCTCTGAAACCTGGGATCTCCAAAATGTATCCCTTCCAAATTCAAGATTTCCAAAATTCAAGTCCTCTCAAACCCAGGGTCTCAGAAACCTAGGCTTTCCAAAATATATCCCTGCAAACTTGGAATCTCCTAAACCAGAGGTCTTTCAAATTCAAGGTATCCAAATCTCAGTGTGTCCTAAACTTGGGATCTCCAAAACTTAAGGTCTCCCAAACTTGAGCTTTCCGAAATGTAAGGCCTCCCAAACTTGGAGTGTCTGAAACTTGAGCTTTGCTTCAATATCTCCTCCAAATGTGAAATCTTCTAAACTTGGGATCTCCAAAACCGAAGCCTCCCAAACTTGAGGTCTGCCAAACTTTGGGTCTCCCAAACTTGGGATCTCTGAATCTTTGGGTCTCCATAATGCTGAATCTCCAAAACTCAAAGTCTCCCAAACCTGGGATCTCTGAACCTTGCAATTTCTGAAACTTGAGGTATCCTGAATTTGGGGTCTCCAAAATTTGGGATTTCTCTAACTTAGGGTCTCTAAAACCTTTGGTGTTCAAAGCTTGGGGTCGGTCCCAAAAATGTGGGGTCTCCAAAGCTTTGGATCGCCGTATCTTTCGGTCTCCGAAACTCAGGAACTCTGAAACTTGAAGTCTGCATAACTTTGGGTTCTCCTTAACTTAATCTCCAGAACTTTGAGGTCTCCTTAACTTGGTCTCCAAAACTTTGGGGTCTTCTTAATTTGGTCTACAAAACTTTGGGCTCTCCTTAACTTAGGGAGCTCCTTAATTTGAGATGTTCCAAATTTGAGGATTTTCAAACCTTGAGGTCTCCTGTGTCTCTTTGCTAACTAAATGTGGAAAGAAAAGCTATCTTTCTTAAAACTCTGGAGAAAGATGCCCTTCGCTTTCTGAGCCAGATCACAAAATAAAATACAGTTTTATTACTATTTTATCTTATTGACATGGTTCGCCACAGACGCCTTACTTCACGCGAATCCTTCTTTAAAGATGAATTACAATATATGTATTTTTTTTTAAAGCAACCAATGCATTTACCACTGGCAGGGAAGGCAGGGCTTTGTGTGTGTTTTTTTAATTATTTGCATTGCAAAGATAATTTATCATAATATTTTTTTAAGATAGCGGATTCAGAGAAAAGGGAGAGCAATACGGAAGTCTTCTCTGAAAGGCTTTCGACCAATAAATAAACTCCTTTTTCCCCGTCATTTCCCAAGTGCAACTGAAAGAGAAGCAGGATTGGAAAGCAAACGCTCAGTACATGGATTAATTAATTTCATGAGTTTTAGTGTTGTCCAAATTGCGAAGCCAAAGGGATATAACATGGATTTCTAAATTGTGAAGATTTTAGACGTTATTTTAGTACTAAATAAAATTAAGAGCTCCCCCTTAAAGATGGCCTCCATTAAGTCCTGCTTGCCTGTTTTCTATAAGAAAGAGAACCAACCTTAATATTGATACCAATATATAAATACATGTTGAGACAGCAATATGGATTATTTATTATTGTTATTTACAGTATTTATATTCCACTCTTTTCACCCCGAAGAGAACTCAGGGCGGATCACAGAACACATATGAAGCAAACATTCAATGTTGTTTATACATTGACAGACAGCTACATAGATAGAGGTATATATAGGCTGTTCCCATCTTTGGCATCTTGGAGGCTTGTGCTCGGTTTTGGCCACTGGAGGGTGCTGTTGCTCCATCTTCCCTGCCAAAGAGCTTTGTTTGTAAGCTTCCTCCTTGATCAAATCGCCAGAATTTTTATGGCATTTCCTTAAGGGTGCCTTAAATACCTCCCCGCTTTTAAGCAGTACCGATTTATCTACTCACATTTTGCTTTTGAACTGTTAAGTAGACAAAAGCTGGGCTAAAGGGTAGGAGCTCACCCCAACCCAGGCTTCGAAATGTCAACCTTTTGGTTGGCAAGATTTACTCCAGCTGGTGGTTAACCTCCTGTGCTAACACCTGGCCTATGGATGGGTGATTATATCCAATTGTTCTATCAATATGTACTTGCTATAATTATCTATCTGTATTGATCCATTATTGTCCTAAAGCTTGCATTTGTTCAGCCCCGGTGGCCTATCTTCTATATGGAAAGGAACAAACTATAATGTGGATACCAATCTATCAATTCAGTAGAGTCTCGCTTATCTGACATTCCTATGTTCTTATCCAACGTCCCCTTTTTCCTCCAGCATTTCCTCTTCAATTAAAGGAGCGCTCACCAACTCCATTCCCAGTAAGTGAAAAGGCAAGATAAGGAAGAGGAGGAGGAACGAAAGAGGGAAAAGAGGCAGGACCGGAAGCGGTAGTGTCCTCCCTCCTTCCCTCTGTGATTTCCATGTTCCTCTTCCGCATCCAGGCACTTCCTGCTGGGCCGCTCTAGCCCCGAGGCGTTGCCTTGTCTTAACTCTCAGAGTCCCTGTTGATAGTATTCTAGGTGTATAGTGTGGCATCGGACGGGTAACAGGAGGAGACTCCATATTTTCCAACATGTTCATTTATCCGACGTTCTGCCGGCCCGTTTATGTCAGATAAGCAAGACTCTACTGTATATATCTATTGAGACCAATACAGATAGATTATTATATCCAATATATATTTGATATAACTATCTATCGGTATTGATTCATTATTTTCCCAAAGATAGCATTAAATCCTGATTGTCTTATTTTCTGCAAAGTAAAATATTGGTACCAAAATATCAATATATATTGAGACATCCATTCCGATAGATCAGTGGTTCCCAATCTGTGGTCCATGGACCACCAGTGGTCCACAAGAATGAAAATATGGTCTGTGCCCTCACCACTACTACACCGTTGCCTCGAAACCACGCAGCAACAAGAGTGACTGGTCTAGTACCAAGGCAACGGGGATGTTGGAAGGGAAGAGGCTGACTACCCACGAAAGATTAGTACTACCACATCAAATTATTAAATATGGTTTTCTGTGTGCAAGGAGATGGCAACTACTGGATGGCATATGCTCTGTATCAGAAACTAGAGCTGATGTGGTCTAGCCAATGCAGTTTTCTGAATCATCACCCATCAAACCAAATCCAAAGCTGTCCAAAAACTGATTCATAACCCTTTTGGTGCTAATGTTGGAGAGTGATCCCTGGTCAAAGTGGTCCCTGGTTAAAAAAAGCTTGGGAACCACTGAGATAGGTGGTTATACTAAATGGATATCCATGTATAGACATATCCTGTATATGTGTGTGTATGTATGTGTATATATATATATATACACACACTATACACACACACACATATATATATCCCGGTGGCACAGTGGGTTAAACTGCTGAACTTGCTGACCTAAAGGTCAGCAGTTCAAATCCATGGAGTGGGGTGAGTTCCCACTGTTAGCCCCAACATTTGCTAACCTAGCAGTTCGAAAACATGCAAATGTGAGTAGATCAATAAGTACCGCTTCTGTGGGAAGGTAACAGCGTTCCATACAGTCATGCCGGCCACATGACCTTGGAGATGTCTATGCACAACGCTGGCTCTTCGGTTTACAAATAGAGATGAGCACCATCACCCCAAAGTCGGACTCGATTAGACTTAATGACAAGGAAAAGCTTTACCATATTATATATATACACACACATACATGCATATAGGATATGACTATGTTTCTGTATGGATCCATTATTTCCTAAAGGTGGCATTCATTAGGTCCTGGTTGTCTATCTTATACAATACATCAATATATATATTGAGACATTAATTCAGATAGATGGTGATATATTCTGCTTTATCTCCCCGAGGGGACTCAGGGTGGATTACAGAACACAAATAGGGCAAACATTTGATGCCATCATACAATTAACACGGGCAGACAGTACATAAACAGAGGTATATAGGCTTTTCCCATCTTTTTCCATCTCTGACATATGGAGGCTGTGCTTGGCTCTGGCCACAGGGAGATGCTGTCGCTCCATCTTCCATTCTGAGGAGCTTTGTTGTCCATAGACATCCCCTTGATCGAATCGGAGGCATGTCCTTATGGGCGCCTTTTTATTACCTCTCCACTAAAAGTGGTACCTATTTATCTACTCACATTACTGTTTTCGATCTGCTAGGTGGGCCGAAGCTGGGGCTGATGGTGGGAGCTCACCATTACCTGGGCTTGAACTGCGAAGTTTTCAATTGGCAAATGTTTCTGCAGCTGGCGGTTTAACCCGCTGTGCTAAAGCCCAGCCCTGGATATCAAATGGATATCCATTTATTATATATAGGATAGAACTATGTTTCTGTATGGGTCCATTATTTTCTGAAAATTGGCATTTATTAAGTTCCAGTTGTCTTTATCTACTGCAAAGTAAAATATTGGTGCCAATATATCAATAGATATCAATACAGAGAGATGATTATACCCAATCCATGTACAGATAGAAAGCAATATCAATATTTCTATCTCTTCTGGTGACCCTTTATTGCAGGCATGGACAAACTTGGGCCGTCCAGGTGTTTTGGACTTCAACTCCCACAATTCCCAACAGCCTCAGGCCCCCTCAGCCGCTGCGAAGGAAGGGGCCTGAGGCTGTTGGGAATTGTGGGAGTTGAAGTATAAAACACCCGGACGGCGCAAGTTTACCCATGGCTGCTTTATTGGGATAATATTTGCAATTATTTTGTGTTAGTTCTTTTCATAATGGCGTCTTTTGTTTTATTTTTCCCTTCCAAAATGGCAAAAAACCTCCCAAAACAAACCAGCTTTGGAACAAGCCAGGATCGGAGAACAACACTAAGCCACGATCGCAAACCATGGTTTGTTCTAACCAACGATTCAATAAATTGCTGCCAATATATCTACATTAATAACTGATATCCCTCTAATTTCTCAGTCTTTATTTTCCCCTTTATTTTCACCACAATTGTGCATGAAAACCAAAAAGAGAGAAAAGAATCGCCCGATTTTCTCAGAGTGTCGGGTTTCTCCTCCACAAAATATATCAGGATATATATATATATATAAGAATATCTATTGCTAAGTGTGTATGCTTGTGGGTTGTTGGGCTTTTATTTCACGGCTTAAGTGTGAAAAACGTTTTATTTCTCTTTTCAAAGAAGTAAAATGAATATATATATATGTCTTAGTCCAAGCTTTCGAAACAAGGGTTGGATTTGTAACTCAGGGGATAAAAAGAAAAGAAGAAGAAATCAATCTGCTGTCTGGATATTTTGATTGTATTCGGGGTACAAGTGCTATGGAAAATCTCCATTGCTTTTACATTTTTATTGTATTTTGAACCCTTCGCGTTATATCCTTGGCCCCAATGCAATGCTTATGGCAATCTCCATTGGGTTGTTGTGAGTTTTCCGGGCTGTCTGGCCATGTTCCAGAAGCATTTTCTCCTAACGTTTTGCCCACATCTACAGCAGGCATCCTCAGAGGTTGTGAGGTCTGTTGGAAACTAGGTAAGTCGGGTTTATATATCTGTGGAATAATATCCAGGGTGGGAGAAAGAATGCTTGTCTGTTGGAGGCAAGTGTGAATGTTGCCATTGACCACTTTGGATTAGCAATGAATGGTCTTGCAGCTTCACAGCCTAGCTGCTTCCTGCCTGGATGAGTCCTTTGTTGGGAGGTATTAGCTAGCCCTGATTGTTTTCTGTCTGGAATTCCCTGTTTTTTGAGTGTTGTTCTTTATTTACTGTTTTGATTTAAGAGTTTTTTAATACTGGTAGCCAGATTTTGTTCATTTCCATGGTTTCCTCCTTTCTGTTCAAATTGTCCACCTGCTTGTGGATTTCAATGGCTTCTCTGTGTAGTCTGACATGGTGGTTGTTAACGTGGTCCAGCATTTCTGTGTACTCAAATAATACGCGGTGTTCAGGTTGAATCATCAAGTGCTCAGCTATGGCTGACTTCTCTGGTTTACCCTACAGTGCCTTTCCAGTCCCTTGATTCATGTCTGTGTTTTGGAGTCCCTATGGAGACTTGTCCACAGCTGCATGATATACAGTAGACTCCTGCAGAAGTGAGAGGATCCCTCTTGTCCTTTGCTGAATGGAGAATGTGTTGGATTTTCTTAGTTGGTCTGTAGGTGGTTTGTATGTTGTGTTTCTTCTGCAGCTTCTCTATGCGGTTGGTGGTTCCCTTGATGTATGACAAGAACACTTTTCCTCTGGGTGGATCTTTATCTTCATTCTCGTGGTTTGTTCTTGGCCTTGCAGCTCTTCTGATGTCTATGGTGGAGTCTCCTTTGACCTGTAGAGCCCAGTTGAGGTGGTTCCATTCACCTTGGAGGAGGTGGGTTTTGCAGATCCTTTTTGCACGATCTGCCAGGGCTTTGTGCTTTTTTTTTTTTTTTAACTTGGGTGATGGTTGGAGTTTTTATGTAGGTATCTATCTATCCGTGTGTATAGGTTTTCTGTAAACTGTGTGGCCCAAGTGTTGATTGGGTTTGCGGATGACGCGAACATCTATGGTAGTTTTCCTTTGTTTTCATTCTCCATGGATGTCTTGGTGGATGCTGTTGAGGTGGTCCAGGAGCTTGTTGAGTTCTTCTCCATCTATTTTTATTTACAGTATTTATACCCCGGCCTTCTCACCCCGAAGGGGACTCAGAGCGACTTACATAACACACATCCCATGCCCATTATACAATTAACAAGGACAGAAAACACAGAGGTAAAGGCAGTTGTTCTCATCTTATTTCTGGCATCTTGGAGGCTGTTCTCGACTCCGGCCATGGGGGGTGCTATTGCTCCATCTTCCATGCCAAAGAGCTTTCCTCTGATCGATATCCTTGAGGGCGCCTTTATTACCTCCCCACTAAAAGCAGTACCTTCAGAGGCGGCCCTAGGTAATAAACAGTATTTTGCCCCCCCCCCCCAACCAATCACTGATATATCTTTTCTGTTTGTCGTGGGAGTTCTGTCTGCCATATTTCGTTCAGTTCCATCATTAGTGGAGTTCAGAATGCTCTTTGATTGTAGGTGATCTATACATCCCGGTAACTACAACTCACATATGTCAAGGTCTATTTTCCACCAAGAGCGTCTCAAGAGCGCCCCCGGGCAAAATCAACTATACTGCAAATGCTTACTTTGCGTAATGGGTTGAGCCACCCCTGAGTACCTTTTTCATGTACTCGCATTTCTGCTTTCAACCTGCTAGGTGAGCTGGGGCTAACAGCGGGTGCTCACACTGACCTAGTCTTGAACTGCTGACCTTTTGATCAACAGGATTTTTCTGCAGCACAGCGGTTTAGCCTTCTGTGCTAAGCCCGGCCCCTATGGCTCCAAATGGTGAAGGTGTCATCCAGAAATCTGAACCATACAGTGGGCTTTTTTGTTGCTGTTTCCAGGACTTGTTTTTCAAAGTGTTCAATGGAGAAAAGTGTTCCATGTAGTGGCCGGGCTTTAGCACAGCAGGTTAATCACCAAGCTGCAATAAATCTTGCCAACCAGAAGGTTGATAGTTCGAAGCCTAGATCAGGGTGAGTGTCTGAGCCTTATCCCACCTTCTGCCAACCTAGCGGTTCGAAAACAATGTGAGTAGATAAATAAGAAACACATTAGAGCGGAGAGGTACAATAGAGTCTCGCTTATCCGGCCTTCACTTATCCGACATTCCGTCTTATCCGACGCCCCCCTTTCCTCCAGCATTTTCCCATCAGTTAAAGGAGT